ATCACCACTACCGGTTTTCCATTCTCTACTTTCACTTGCGCTCCCTCTTCTTCTTTCGCAATCTCTAATTTTTAAAATAAAATAAACAAAATTACGAGGGGGCAAAGGGAAAAAAGAAAAAGAAAGAAAGAAAAGGAAAAGACGGGAACGCTTTCATAACTCATTGCAAGGGTTTATCCGAGAGGATTTGTAGAAAACCAGTTGGAGGAGCAACGTTACCTCGAGAAGCGGTTTGGGGATGAAGGTCCATTGGTTCCATGGTGGGTTGTGGAAGTCGTGCTCAGCTGCTGCTGCTGCTGCTGCGTCGTCTTAACCGTAGGATACAACCGTGCGTTGGTCGCTCGCTTTGAATCGAGGGATATGGACGCTTTCTGCTCCTTGCTGTTATTTTTCTCTTTTTGAACTTTTAAACCATTTTTTCGTTTGGAGTCGGTGAATAATTGCGGTGCTAGCCTACGCTTATTACAATTTGCTCCATGCGGGAAACCAAAACTCAGCAGAGCTTATGATATCAGACGCGATAATACTCCAAAGCTTAAGATGAACTAGAGCTGTTTTTTATAAACTCATCAGCTAGCACAATTCACTACCGTGTCTTGTTACGAGGTTTACAGCCTTTACCCTTTTTTTTTTTTCCCTAATATATGTATATGTATATTTTATTTATTTATTTTTATGTGTATATCCGTCACATGGCCCGCCTCAGTAATATTAATAGGAATCACGGACCAGTTTTACCAAAAAAATAAAAATAAAAATAAAAATAAAAGACCAAGAGTAATTTCTTTTTGATTGGGTCCTCCCCGACACAGTTCTTCTGTTAATTGTAATTTCTTTTGTTCTCTTTTTTCTATTTTTGGGAGTTGGGAGGGTGTGTGTTTGATGTTATGGTTAATGAGGTAGTGACCCATTGTAAAACGTCTTTCATTCAGCAAGCTCCGGGTAGTAGAACAAACGTATTATCATTCTGACGGACAAAATACACAAGTCTTTCGCATGGAGTGAGGATTAGCATCCTCTGTCTTTGTCCTTCAAAGGGCTTGCGATTTCACCGCAAATTTCCTTTCCTCCCCTTTCTTTTGCCGGTTTAAACTTCTGGAATCTTAAGAAAGTGCCTTTTAATACTACATTGGTGGTTTACTGGCCATGAATGCAGTTTCTCCGCCTCGTCTAAACATTCGAGAAGAAACGAGTTTCAAAAAAAAAACAAAAAACATTCGACAAGAAACGAAAAACAAAAGGCTAATTTCAGATTCCTGTGACTCAAGAATAATGCATGTTGTCCCATCCTAAGTATGATTCTCAACTAAGCACCAGCTTTGGACCGGTGGCCATCACCTAGCTTGGCGGAACCTTGCCTCCCATCAAAATGCCACATTTAAGTGATTTGATCCGGTGATAATTCAATCCCCTCCGAATTATTCCTAAACCTCCTTAGGTCCACCCTCTCCTCCTTAGTGTAGAATAAATTAAGTTATACAACAAATTATACAATCGTTGTCGTCTCCCAAAAAAAAAAAATAGTATGATTCTCAACTGCCTGGCGTGCAAACATATTTCAGTCACCATACTGCCTAGCGTGCAAACATATTTCAGTCACCATACGCCTAATTCAGTACCAATCTGGCCCGTTTGATGTGCAATATGAACTTGCTGCACCGCAAGCTTCTTGAGCTGAATAATTTTTAAACCGAAACACAACCAAAGCCCCATTTGGCAAATGAATATTTTACGTATTTATTTAAAATTTTACTGTAACTTACTGTAAAATTTATTAAAAATTTTTTGAAGTGTATAAATTTTTAAATATTTTAAAGTGTATAATTTAAAAATCTTAAGAAGTTTTTTTTAAGGTTAGTGTAGCTAAAGTTTTTAAAAAACTTATATCAAACAAACTTAACAAAAACCTCAATGCCAAACAGGGCCCAAATTTACCAACTTCAGTTATAAGGAAGCAAAATTTGAACCAGATAAATCTTTCAAGCCAACCCATAAACCAGAGCCAGTTGACCACCTATCAAGTAAAAGCGCAATATGGCGACTGACCTATATCTGTGTATGCCATGCATATCAAGCAAAGTTACCAATGAGCGTAGTAATTAACTGCCAAGACGTTGCCTAGCTATGAGAAGCTGCCCTGCTAGACTTGGCAAGTTAGTGTAATAAAAACTTGAGAAAGGTAGAAGATCCTTCCACAATGCAACGTAGTTCCAGGCAGTGACAAGAAAAGTTATCCAGAGCAAGGTCCAATTGCTACAACTCGCGGTCTGAATTGACCGGAGAAGTGGAAACAAATCATAACAAGTTAAAGTAAATGCTGGATATATAACAAGTCAATCGAAATACAAGCTATACCTACCCATTCCATGTAGAAAAGTTTACCCTGTAATATACCAATCTGCTATTGAATTTCTATTTCAGTCTGCACTCATCTTTCACATTTCCTAAACTTCGCACCAATCTTCCAAGAAATGACTGACCATCTCCTCTGACAGAATCTTATCCCTAATTTCGGACCTCTTTTAACTTTTTCTGCATTAGCTGGAAGAATGAGCTTACAAAAGTAATCTCGTTAATAGAGAAATAATTTATCCTACTTAAAGAAAGCTAGTTTTTGAGTGCTTCAAGTATGCTTATTCAACATCATTGTTTAAGGAATATTAAAAAAAAAAAAAACTAACGCAAATGACTATTACATGAAATCCTACACAACATCTACAACACAAATGAAACCCCAACAGTTGCAAAAAACTGAACTCAACCAAAAGCTTAATATGTCAATCAAAAATCACATATTAATCAACCATTGAAAAGCCTGAAGAATTAAGAACTGTACATAAATTGTCAGACAGATGAAACTTAAGCAGCAAAACCCAAAGACACTCATCTGGTTATCATTAACCGAATATTGATAACAATTTAAAGCCACCCAGAACAACGGGGCAACAAAACAAATTCAATTCTCAACGGTGGGGGATTGCCTTTCTTTCCCACGCTTGGTAGTGAGAAAATAAAACTCCAAAAAAGTGAGCCTACTCTGCAGAAAGTATGCATCGTTCCTCAAGAGGGAGACTGTATTTCATGGCAAGATCCAAATCTCTAGCTAAGTAGTAGACTGTGAAACGATAACAGCAGTCATGGCAGGGGAATTCAGACGAAGGCAAGTACCAGTCTAAACATAAAATGAACATTTCTCCAAAAGATAAAAATTTCCATTAGACAGGTGGATTCAGCGAAACTGAAACTTCATATCATTACAATCAAAGTCTGCAAGCCAAAATTCAACAAAATGGAGACAGGAAAATCTAAAATATGACAGGACAAAAAAAGCGAGATAGAGACAGCATAAGCAGAGCCTAGAATCTAACAAAACGTAAGAACAAGGACTCTTCTGGTACTCCTCCTACTTAGATCTCTGCCTCATCTTTCGGCGCTTCCTCTTCAACCTCCTCATTCTCTTCTTCTTCCACTGCAATCAAGGTCAGGAGCACCCCACCCGCATAATTAACAAAAAAGAACTCAATACCAAAAATATCACTACTTGCTAACTACACAGTCAGAGATGGTTCTAATAACACTTAAAAGGTCAATGAAAGAAGCGTCTAACCTTGGCTCTCATGGCGATAAACAAGGACGCTCTCGAAACTCCGACTTCTCTCTCAGAACCCCGTCGAACAAGAGGCGCAGCGCAAGATACAAAAGCCCTAGGGTTTCTGGTGTACTTATAGGGGATTTACGTGGTGCTAGATGGACGGCCCAAGAGGAATACGTAAACTGGGCTGTTTCGTGACGGGGGAACCTATACAGTATATCGCGTTTTTCGAGCCCTTTATGTCTAGTGATATTAAAATTGTTCGCGAGGCCTATATCAACATGGGCTTTCGGACTGAATTCAGGCCTGCTCAAATTGGAAATGTTTTATTTTTGAAAATTTGAGGTTTTTTTTTTTGGTAAAATTAGCATTTTAATGAAAATATGAGACTTTAATTAAGCAAATAAAACGTTTAAATATTTTATGCAAAAATAGTTTAATTAGAGGCATACATTTCTTAATTGAATGTAATTATTTAAACAAAAGCTCTTAAAATTGAACAGGCCGGGCCTAACCCTGTGTGTTCCTGAATTGATTGGTTTAATGGAGTAACTAGATATGGGTCGGAACAGCCAACTAGATCAGTACTACACACTTAGCTTCAAAAATTACCGCATAGTTTCTTTAGTTGAAGAAGAAAGAGGTTCATGTGCACAAAACCTGAATGTTAGGAGTCCCAAACCTTTAGTTCTTCAAGTCCAGATCCTCGATTGCCAAGCTTGAGAGCTTGATTTCAAATTTAAGTTAAACTCACTTGAATTAGTGGCACTTAGCTTTGGACCTCAATTTTCTCCTATCATTACTAGGCTACAAAATTTGGAGAAAAACCCATTGGGAAGAAAAAAAAAAGAGTCAATGTTCTCAAAAATCCAGTAGAATAAACAAACTCCGTCATGGCCCTAAAACGACAAAATGGTTCTATGTCAGATAGGTCCGTCCGGCAAGTCGAATATGTATACAGATTTCGCAAACCATGGGCTGCATGGATAAATATATTACGTAAGAAATTTGATAGCTGTTTAGTCCAGAATCACAAGTTATGGATGGGAGACGGTAAAAAAGACTCTTTTTCCTCGTAGAACAAAATATGGACGCATCCAAGATGGCCAATATTTTACTGGTACACATCAATCATGAGAGCTTATGCTTAATCAGTTAAATCTTTGTGATCTGAGTTTCCCGACCTGTAGCTTTAAGTTAGCTACTCCGTTTTAGTAATTGTCGAAAAAAAAAAAAAAGCTATAGACATTCTTGTTTCAAGAATCGCAGCTAAATTTGCCCGGGCCGACATCTCATGCGCAAATACGATAAGGCCACCAATCTTGACCAGAGTAGAATTGAATCATCATATTGATGAAAGTAAACTGCAAGTTTGGGTTTGCACTTATGCTATTGATTGATATCAAATATTCGATAATCTACTCATTAATCAGTGAACTGCACCAGCCCTTCTGAGATTTTGTGGTGTAGAGCACGCTAATAATGAATTCTCTACGCGGACGGTCGTCAATTGCTCCCTGCTATCGTCCCTCCCATAAAGGTTGATGCTTTCCCACATCACGCACCCTGTTCACTTTATTTCCCACTATTGACTATATCAGGCAGGCTGAGGCTCACGCTGCCTACCCACAGTGATATGTTCTACTGCTGACAAATTAAGGAAATTCAATTCTTCAAGATCTTTCCCTAGCCTAGAGAAGAAGATCTGATCTACCGGTTAAGAAGATGACATCTCAGATGCATTTCCGGCTCCTTTTGGTCCTACTTCTCTCAGATTTGTACAGCATCATTGATGTCAAGTTGGCGTCAGCCCGATGCCTGAGTGAAGAGATGGATTTGTTGCTTCAGTTGAGGAACAACCTCACGTATGACGCTTCGCTTTCTACCAAGCTGGTGAGCTGGGATGAACAGAGTGATTGCTGCAGTTGGAGAGGCGTGCGTTGTGACGATGCGGGTCATGTTATTGACCTCGACCTTAGCAGTGATTCAATCTCTGGCAATCTTGACGATTCAAGCAGTCTTTTCCGCCTCCAATTTCTCCGGAGATTGAACTTAGCTGGAAACTCCTTCGACTCTACGCAGTTGCCAACGGGGTTTGGAATGCTGAAGGAATTGGTTTACCTGAACCTGTCAGAAACAGGCTTTGCTGGGCAAATCCCGAGCGAGTTTTCACGGATTTCGAGGTTGGTAACTCTGGACCTCTCTACTTTTTCACCTGGCTACATCCTCTCGCTCAAACTTGAGAGCCCAAATCTTAATATGTTGATTCACAACCTCACAAGGCTTAGAGATCTTCGTCTTGACGGCGTAGATATTGCCGCGGCCGGGGATGATTGGTGCCATGCACTGTCATCTGCACTGCCTGATTTGCGAGTCTTGAGTTTGTCCTACTGCAATATTTCAGGCCCCCTAGATTCCTCTTTGGCAAAACTTCAGTCTCTCTCTGTTATCAAGCTGGATGGCAATATTTTTTCATCTCCACTTCCAGATTTCTTTGCAGAATTTGCCAATCTAACTGCCTTGAGTGCTGGATCGTGTGGCTTGACAGGAGAAGCTCCTCAACGGATATTCCAATTGCCAACTCTACGGACCATTGACTTATCAAACAATAGAGAACTTGGTGGCTCTTTACCAGAATTCCCTGAAAACGGGTCCCTAGAGACTCTGGAGCTTAGCTACACTTACTTTTCGGGGAATTTACCAGATTCTATTGGCAATCTCAAAATGTTGTCCAGCTTGAGGCTTTTTGGTTGCAATTTTTCAGGGCCAATCGCTAGTTCAATATCTAGCCTTTCCCAGCTTATCGCTATCGACCTGTCCGTGAATCATTTAACCGGTTCACTCCCATCATTTAGCCTGTCCAGGAAACTTAGTTCTATAGGCCTTCGCGATAATAAATTGATTGGCAAGATTCCATTAGAATGGAAAGGCCTCAAGAATCTGACCTTTCTTGACCTGAGCGACAATTCACTTAGTGGAGAACTTCCAGCATTCCTGTTTTCTCTGCCATCACTAGAGACCTTAACACTTCCGAACAACCGTTTTTCTGGTCAGATCAGTGAATTGGAAAGCGCATCTCTATCTCCACTAGAACAACTTGACTTGAGTGGCAACAATCTTGAAGGGCCTATACCCAAGTTTGTTTTTAAAATCACTGGTCTCTCGACTCTCTCTCTTGCTTCTAATAAATTTACAGGCACGGTAGAACTGGTGGAATTTATAGAGCTCAAGAATCTTTTCAGTCTTCATCTTTCATACAATAAGCTGTCAGTTGGCACAAGCGGAAGTGACTCTGACTTTTCTTTGCTCCCCCAGTTTAATAGTTTTATGTTAGCCTCTTGCAAGCTGCAAAAGTTTCCCTTTCTGAAGAACCAATCAAGATTGAATATGCTAGATCTTTCAGAAAACCAAATAACTGGTGAGATACCAAACTGGATATGGGAAGTTCATGATGGTTATCTCCCATATGTGAATCTATCTCATAACCATTTCACGGGCCTTCAAGAGCCTTACCATTTTCACACTCATCAATATCTTGATTTGCACTCGAATCTGCTTATTGGAGGCATCCCTTTACCACCGCGATCAGCTGTCTATGTGGACTTCTCAAGCAATAAATTTACTTCTTCGCTTCCAGCTGATATCGGTAATCATCTCTCATCTGCCATGAACTTCAGCATCGCAAACAACAGCATTGTTGGCGGCATTCCTCTTTCATTATGTAATGCGAGTCTTCTGGAAGTACTTGACCTGTCGGGTAATAGTTTAAGCAGCTCCATACCTTCGTGTTTGATAGAAAAGTCCAGATCCCTCGTGGTACTGGACTTACATGGAAACAAGCTAAGTGGAAATATACCCGATACATTTCCAGGGGACTGCAAGTTAGAGACATTGGACCTGAGTTTTAATCAATTAGAAGGCAAGGTTCCAGAATCTTTGGTCAACTGTACAAAGCTAACGGTATTAAACCTCGGCCACAACAGGATTGGCAGCTCACCCTCCACGCCATGATCAGTTGTTCACGTCCGCTTTGAAACTAGTATTGGCAAATTGCAACCCTAAAGTAAGCTAATTAAAGTAATTAGCACTGTACTAGTACTCCTTTCTAGGTATTTCATTTTTCAAGGATATTGAGAAGCAATATATAAATTTTGCAGTATCAGAAATGAAGTAATTGTTGAATGTTGAGCTTGGCTCCATGTTCTTTCCAACCATGCACAATAATAATAATAATAATAATAAAAAAAAAGAATTTGGCGTATAAGTTATAACTTTACTTCATGAGAAGCTAATTTCTGTCTCGTTCTTCTCTTCACAATTCCAACGGAGCTAATACAATTAAGGAGACACAATATTTCATAATCTATTATTGTCTATTGAATCTGTTGTTCTATCTATGGTGTGTCTGTTGAAGGATATCTGGGAAGTCAACCAGTGAGCCCAGTTGAAGGATAGACGTTCGGCAAAGAGGACAATTGGACCGAGTCCTGAGCCATTTATCCACGCATTGGGAGTGAAAACCATGGTGGCACCTTGGCAGAACTTTCACTTTGTCTCCGTCCTGAAAAAGACTCAGACAAATAGAGCACTCGGATTCTGGGCAAGTCTCATGATTCAACCTGGACCGATAAGAGAAGATTGGCAAGCCCCTGATGGTAGCAGGGTCTAACCCAATTGGCGGGGGTGATCCTCCATCCTGGTTCTGGCTGCTGGAGGAGGAGCTAGCTCTGCTATGGATGCAAACATAGAGAAAGTAGAGAAACAAGAAACTAAAGAAGAAGAAGAAGAAGAAGAACAGAAACAGGGCACCAAGAAGGGGACTCTTTTCTTCAGATTTGTCCTCGAGAAGATTACTGAAATGAATCGGCTCAATATCTTGAGAATCCATGCAAATAACTTTTGGGAATGTGTTCCGTTGGATCATGTGCATATTGTATGCGTCTAGATTCTAGAGACTATATATGGAATATCAGTTTTAGCATTTCAGATTACTACTACAGGATACCGCTCCTACTAATTAGATTATAGAGAGGTGAATTCCGAGCACATGGGATTTCTTGTGACTTGGGAGAGGTTGAGAGTTGGGACAAAAAATGTGTTGCTCTTTTTCGTAATGCAAGTTGGTGGATCCTCCTCATCAACGCCGAAAGCCTTATTCCAGACTTCCTCATTGACATTTACTCGCTCCGGCTTAGAATAAGGACGACGCTGCAACTATGCAAGACAATCGACTTAATTAGGTGGAGCCGATGATTCGTTGACAGTCGAATCAACAGATGCTAGGACTGCCTCCTTTGGTTAAAGAAGCAGATTCAGATTCTACAGAGCAACTAATGAATTCTGTGGATTTATTGTTGTTAAAAATCCTCAGTTCCAAAGTATTCCTTCTTTAGGATAAAATCGAAATAAACTCCCAATTCTTAGAGGTTGATAACCTGGGAAGAATAACTAACCTCTTGTTGCATTCTCTATCACTGTTTCTTTTTCTTCCTTTTCTATATAACCATGCTCTGACATGATAATATCATAATAAAGAGACCAATTAGCCCTTACTAGTTCTATTAAAATTTTTGACTAATTTGCCCTTATTCATTATTTTAAAAATATTGACTTACCCCTTATTAATTGATTTACAATTTTTGACTAATTTGCCATATTAACATCATAATAGAAGGACTATATTGCCCTTGGACTAAATTACCCTTACTAACCTTATTTTCTAAACAAAATTTATATAAATATATAATCTTATCAATTGGAGTTTATGAATAAGGACTTCAATAAACTCAAACTTGATCCAAAGAAAAACCTTCTGTATTAGCCTGAGTTCGGCTCATTGAAAGCTCTTAAATCAGTTAGGTTTTAATCGAATTAACCTTAATTTAGTTAAAACTTGGCCCATTATTTGATTGAATTTCAAATTTAGGTTCGAAAGCTTGGTCAAAATCTATTTTTAAGGGCTCAAACGGGCTAAGTTTGAATGAATGCGAATTTTTATATATCAAAATCCTTGATTTACTTTATAATTATAAAGTTTTAAACTGCTCTATTTTAATAAAATTTATAAATATTAAATTATTTATTAGATTATTTATTAAATAATATTAAATTATTTTATTAATATTTTATAAAAATACTAAATTATTTTATTAAAAAGAATCTACAAATTAAGGGATGAGTCATCCCATCTCATCCAGTTCGTAAACGAAACGGACCCTTGTGGTTTAACCTAAAGTGGAAAATAGACAGAATCGGCTGGGTTAACGATAACGGAGAAAATGACATAACTACCCTCGGTTAAAATGTGAAGTAATGTGAGACAACTCACAATCTTTCCTGTTGTTCTTCCTGCTATTCCTTTTCTGTCTGTTTCTTTCACCAACCACCATCTTCATCCACCACCATTTGTAAGACAACAATTATTTTGTCAAAAATTCAACCCAAAGTTCAATTTTCATGTAAATCATGATTTAGTTGCTCATCCGGAACCAAGAATGTCATTTTCATGTTGCTCATATTATTAGGTCAGCGAAAATGTCATCCGCGTGTTAATTACCAATAAATTATACTCCTCTAGTACTAAATAAAATGAGTAATCAATATTGAACAGATTATCAGAAAACGACGTACATAAATGGAGTAATGAACATCATAGGATATGGCCGTCTGTTCAAGGGATGTGACAAAAGACACCTTTTTCCTTTTTTTTTTTTTTTTAAAGTACGAGCTTCACACTTGCTAATTTTCCAACATTGGAGTTTGGGGTTCGATTGAGATTTAAAAGCACAATCAATTGATGGTTCAGTTTTCACTTGATGTAGTGCCAGTTCAAAAGATTCCTTTAAAATGCCTATTCTTCAGTTCCTTTAGATTACAGCACTTGAAGCGTTTACAACCCTGTTTAATTTTCCCTCTTGTTATTTTTAAGTTTTTACTTTTGAATACAGAAATCAAATATTCTTTTTTGTGAAATACTGATTTTGATTTTTAATTTCTTGCAAAATATTCTTTTTTGTGAAATTTTGATTTTGATTTTTAATTTTTTTTGCAAAATAATCCAAAAATGAACAATTAGACAGTACAATGGTACATTAATAACATTTTAGCTGTGCCTATATATCTTATCTTGTCCCTTTTTTGCTATTCTTTTTGGTGAAATTTTGATTTTGATCTTCAATTTTTTATCTTGTCCCTTTTTCGCTATTCTTTTTTTGTGAAATGTTTTTTTTTTTTGCCAAATAATTTGAACCTTTTTGCTTTTTTTTTTTTTGTGATATTTTGATTTTGATTATTTTTGCAGAATAATCCGAAATTTTTTTTAAAAAATTGACATTACAATATTTTGGCTGTCTGTACACCTTTTTTCACTTTTAGAACGGTGAATTGAAACTTGAGGTGCATGATGGCGGCCAGGCTTGAACTCGCGACCTTTGCCTCATATGACCAACGCTCTAACCAAAAAAGGTCCATAAATAGACAAGTCACAGAGAAATGTTTCATCACAAGATCTCGAAATAGACTAACTAAAATTTTGCTCATCTATGCGCATTTCGAATTTTCGATCAAGCAAATTAATCTTACCTATCAGTACACGTAAAATCTCAGATTATGCAGACGTCGGCCAAATTAGCCCTTAAATTTGTCAGCAATTGGAAATTGTTGCATTAAACATCGCGGTGTTCTGCTCACACCCTATGAGAGCCACTTTTTTGAAGGACTAAATACAAATCTAGCATCTATACAACTTTAATTTGAAGGACTAAACACAAATCTAGCATAACAAATATACTTATTTGGTGACATCAACACTCTCTGCATATATACTTTGATAGCAATGAACATTAATCACTTCTAGTAATTGCGCTAAATGGCGTGAACTAATTATAAGTTGCTAATCTTGATTAATTTGCCAAATACAAGTACGATATATGAGATATGTACTACTAACCCTCACCCCTTTATGTTCTGAAAATTTTTAATTACCATCTAGTTGATTAAAGAAAGGTACTAGAAACTAGTAAAGGAAAGTTTTGTCAAGCGATATACTTTCTCCGCACAGGGGACCAGAATATGCAAATCCTAGCTGCGGTAATGCTGCCAATGCATTCGTTTGATCGCCCTGCATATTGAGCCGTGAATACAGATCATCGGCTTGGTTTGCAGGAAGATGATATGCTGAAGGAAGGGGCAAGGAGGGATCAGTATCCACAAAATTGATCATGGTCTGGTGAAGCCATATCTGTGTCTTGAGGAACTTGACATAGTGAATGGCCTCCTCCAACATGGAAACCGTATCCATCTTACTTCCGCCAGGGACCAAGCTCTGCAAAATCTTGAACCTTTCACTGATTCTGTGCCGCCTTTCCCGAGCAGCTACGCTTTGTGCGTCAGTTGACAGCTTCGCAGCTTTCCCAGCCGGTCTTTTTCCTCCGCCTTTCTTGTCTTTGCCGTTGCTTGCCAAAGCACAGGACCGACGGTCACGCAAGGAAGATCCTTCCATTTTTCTTCTCCTGAATTAAACTGTGTATCTCCTCACTTGGATACCACTATCCAATGAATGTAGCGTCGTAGAGTTCATCCACAGCAATCAGTTTATATAGGTGGATGGAGAAAGGGGTTAGGTATGCTGAAATAAATGATGGATGGAGATATTTCAATTCGAGACACAACACGATCCAGTCTTTGCTGAAGGATACGGGTGTCTAGCGTAGGCGTACGGTCATAGGCAGCAAAAAAGAGGCTTAGCCATGCAGCAAATCAAAAGACTCGACGCACTGGTCCTTGATTTCCTTGCTTTATTTCATTATTATTTCTCCGGGCATAGTCTATGGTGTACTCCCTATAATGAATGTACTATGTATGTGTCCCACAAATGGGGAAAGAGGAGTAAACCAAGAATTCCCGACTAACAACTCTTTTCATGGCTTTTGCCTTGGAATGATGGGAGGCCTGAAGGGCCAAATCCCGAAGGGGAGAGACGCTGTGACTGTGAGGGCCCTCAACTGAAATCGAAGTAGATGTCATGTCATGTGGACTTATTGCATCTCTTGTCTGATTTGATTTGGGGGAGTCGTTTTTGAAGGCTTTTTCATACCAGAGCTTTCTGGATAATCACTACTATTTGCGCGTTCCTTTCTCGTGAAAGAGTAAAGGCTCGTTACTTGATTATCAGCGCTTCTTTTAGGGGATTTTGGGGTGGTATCAAGTACGTATCAACAGCAAAAGGCAACCTCTAAAATTAAGTCGCTGCTGGTTTTTTTTGGACATAAACTAAAAAATAACACTTCAGTGTTGCAAAAAAAAGCTTATAAAAGACTTATATTGAATGTGAAAAATGAGCTTATGTTTTACATTCATCAACTCAATATTTATAGTGATTACATGAAACAAACTAGCAAAATATCCCACTAACAATTATTCTAAAAATCTCAACAAAATATAATGTTCTTCTATTAACAAATCTTATCTAAAATATCTGTTAACAAACCAACGTGATCTTTGGTTAACAAATATCATTATTTTTCTAATAACTAAATTATTTTGATATCAAACATAATCTAGCAAAGTATGTAGGAAAAGTTGCATATCCCAACAGTCGCGTTACACAATCTGACTGGTGAAAAGCTCAAATTTTCCCTAGCAGAGGTAACTAATCAAAAAATGATGATGAAAGTAGTAGTTACCTAACCAGTTGGTCATGAGATCTTCTTGTGTATTTGAAGAAAGATTTGATTATGCTGTTTATGATTGCTCTGAGTTTGGACTGCTGGGAGACCTTAATGTCGTTGCTAAAAGATCATATCTTGGTGTTCCTTTTTTTTTTTTTTTTAAATCACTTTTTTTTTCCTTCTGTTCTACGGTTGTGTCAACTGCATGCGAAGATATATACGAAGGACTTGAGGCACTGCTGCGACTCTGCGAGAACCAGGGGAGAGGCTGGGCGGTTGGTTGTCAGGCAAAAGCACATGAGGCTCCGGATTTCGCGTTGATAGTTGGTAGAGCCCTAATTATTGTTTCTTGTTCAACTGAATTACCTGCTTTTAACTGTCCCCCCAGGCCGACAGGCCCTCGAAGACTCGAAGGAAATACGACCATGGATCATCAGTCAACACTTTCTGTCCTGAAATAACATTTGAATGAAATAATACATGTAAAAAACATATGTTTGGATCCTTTCATTCATTCTTCAAAAACTAGTTTTTTAAACACTATAAAAAATTTTAAAAAGTACCACTCTAAAAAGTAGTCTAAATTTTTTTTAATATTTAAAAAATATTTTAAAATATATTTTAAAAACTCTACTATTCTTATTATAAAAAAAAAACTCTATTATTCTTAAATATTTTAAAATATTTTTTAAAAATATCTCAAAATATACTCTAAAAACTCTGCTACAGTAAAAATTTTTAAAAATACCTCTAAAAACAGTTAATCCAGACAGAAGTATGTTACAGAACCCTATGTATGAAAAGGAGATTAAAAAGAAAAAAAAAACACCATGAAAACAATTAATGGGATTGACCTTTGGGCAGTGAGTCGGGGGACACCGAGTCAAGGCACGTACCATTGCAAAGAAAGATGTGGATCGCTGGAAAAGTGCACGTGATTTCACAGAATTTCTTGACTACTGCATCTGGGAATTGTCGCGCCAACATTCACATGGGCAAAATCTTTCCAATTTATCTTCGTGATTCCCCTATTTTTCCATTGACAAAACACACAAAAAAGAGGGCAATGTAAATCACCAAGTTGCAAGTCTCGCCAACCGCAACTAGGCCGCGAGGGGAGAATAGAAGCCTAACAGCAGTAGGGGGAAGGGGCGGTGATAATCACCACTTCATTTTCTTCTCTTGTCCTTTTTAACGTCGGCCGAGATTCTAGAAAGTCTGGGCATCATATCATATATGTATAGAGGCAATCTACACCGTATATTTTTCAAATTTTGATCAAGTCTTAGCCACTAGCTTTTGGAAATGGTTGCTAATACACGTTTGGGCCCTTACTCCTTCGAGCCATTCCATGATTTTTTTTTTTTCCCGGAGTCTGAAATTCTGAATGAGTAATAATTATTCTTATTTTTTTTTTCTCCCCCTTCAGTTGTTGCCATACAAGATTCAAAATGCAAAAAATTTCTGGAGAACGTAATTTCAGACTTTTCAAGATTTTGTCGCCATGCAGGTCAGGTGTTTTTTTTTTCTTTTGTGTCAAAGGCCATGTAGGTTCAATATACACATACTATTTCACCTTTGCACAGTGTGCCGTCACATCATTTTGCTAGGAAAACAATATATATATATATATATATATTTATTGAAAAAGTTAGGAAAACAATTTCACACTATAGACTCATCTCAGCTTGGAATGCAAACGAATCGAGCTGTCCGCGAGTGGATCGAGTTTGAACTGGACTCAAATTCGATCAACATCGAATTCAAGTTGATCAAGTCAAACTCAAATTCCAAAATACTAAAATCGTTAGTTCGCGAGCCTGCTCGACGTCGATTATATGTATATATATATATATTTATTTGTTATTTTCATAGTAAAATTATATATATATTTCTTATATTTTATTATTTATTAAAAAATTATTATTTTATTTATTTTTAAAATTTTAAAAAATTATTTTTTATTTTTTTAAACTCAAGCTCGATCCGAATTTGAATCGAGCTAGAGCTCGAATTGACATTTTGAGTTCGTCGAGTTTGAGTTTCGTAAAATCATGCTAACACTCGATTCGATTAGGTTGAAATTCGACTCGATTCGACTTGTTTGCATTCGTAATTTCAACAGCATACATAAGGAAAAGTTAATTAACTACACACGAAGCATGGCCGTGGGAATAGCATAAAAAGATAATAATACAAGATCTTGGTGGGAATAGAATAAGTTTTCAGGTGGGGCACAAATTTAATAAAAAGAAAGTTCTCTTAATACCTTTAATAGAATCAGACTGTAATAGCAAGTAATGTAAATATACATATGATATGCATTTAATTTTATAAACAATAATACAAAAGAATGTTAAAAAAAAAAAACCCACTAATGCTGCATATCACATCATTAAGATTAGGAACTTAGATATACGTATAGAAAAACTGACGAAACAAATAGCTACCGATACAAAGAGTCATCACAGTGATGATTCATTTGGGACGTTCGAAGAATGCATGTTAAAAAAAAGAGAGATGCTCTTTGGGGGCACTCACCCGCTCATCACGTTGGGCCACAGAGCATCGAAATGTACGTCCAGCCCGCAACTGGAAGCGGCGAGATGAATTATTCTGCAATGACCAACTTGGGCCCGAGAAGAACTCTCCAGGTGCGGTCCACGTGTCATGACTCCATACACCGCGTGGCTTCTCCTGCCAACATGAAACTTCTTACGACACCTGTCCTAACTCCGCAGTCAAAACGTAACGAAGCAATATATATGTATGTGCTTAATATCCATGATAGATTTTGTGAGGAGGGGCAAAGTGCATTTAATATAATCTCCTATTTAAGCAGGAGCATTAGCGTTACCAAGAAGGAAAAGAATGGCGGCAGATGGAAGTGAGGAATTTCGGCTGGTATCTCCCGGTATAGATAGCGAGGGAAGGCTGCCGAGAAAGTATACCGGGGAGGGGCAAGGTGCTAGGAAGAACATTTCACCCCCGCTGGAGTGGTACAATCTGCCACCGGGGACTCAGAGCTTGGCGCTGGTGGTGCAGGACATTGACGCGTCGGACCCCGATGGACCCATCGTCCCCTGGGCTCACTGGGTCGTCATAAACATACCTCCCACCATTAAGGGCTTGCCCGAAGGATTTTCGGGGAAAGAAAAGGAGGAGGAGACGGCCGCCGGTGACTATGCTGGGATCAAAGAAGGTCACAATGACTGGAAAGTCCCTGGATGGCGTGGCCCCGTCTTGCCAAATCATGGACATCGTTTCGAATTCAAGCTCTATGCCTTGGACGATCAGCTGCATCTCGGGAACAAGGTACCCACTACCTACGTGACTTGATTACTGATTACTCGTCCTTCCTGCTCAAGTTTTCTGTGTAGAATAGAATCAGATATTAATGATGCGTATACCCTATTTTATTTTACTACTATAAGTTCATTGGAATATAAATGTGTAATCAATCGATGATATCTACTTTATTATTACTATAATAAATGAAGGTGACGAAGGAGAAGGTGATGGAAGCAATCGAAGGGCACGTTCTTGGGGAGGCAGTTCTGATGGCCAATTTCTGAACGAACGATTCAGAAATTCGTAGAATCAGGAAATGTAAAACTGGAAAGAAAATCTATCAGTGTGAAGTTGTTAAGAGTCTTTATGGATGCCTTTCAATAAAGTTTTTTTTTTTTTTTTTTTTTTGACTTTGCATATAGCTTAAATTGAAGCTAAATATGGTTGTACGTTTTCTTGCCTAGTCTTTAATTTTTAGTTCACAAAACCAACAAACATCTAAACAGTAAACAAAATATCTCCTCTTAAAAAAAAAAAAATTGTCACGTGTCAAGTGTCCTATTTATTTAATTTATTATGTGTTAATTATTTAAATTTCTTCTACCATCATATGATAAGTGAGATTGGCACCGAATAGTAGCACAGAGGATCTCAACTGCAAATGTATCAGGGCTTTGGACTCATTATGAAACCAAACAAAGCACATATTTATCAATTAATACATAATTATATCTGAGCATCCTTCTGGAATGAGACAAAATTTAATTCTGAAACACCCTAACTGAGGCTTAGTTTGGGAGTTTAGGATCGAAAATAAAAGAAGGGATGAAAGTTTTGAGAATTAGTGGTATGATTTTGGATATGCAAGTTATTAAATATTTATTCAAGATCTTTTAACGATAAAATAGGCATTTTTAAAAAAATTGACAAGCTTACTCAAAGTTTCTTTCCATTTTCGTCCAATTTGGATGGAAAAGTTTTGGTTAGTGTTCATTCTCATGATTCCTCCCATTTCTTTTATTTTCTTTCTTACTAAAAGCTAACAAATCAAAAAAACCTAAAAGTGTGTTTGGATAGCTTAATTTTACCAAATAATATTTCATTTGCATTATAAACACATTTTTTTTATATTTTTAACCATATTTTTATATCAAATACAGCACATCATAAAAAGTACTATTATAATTATTTTAAATATTACACTTTATTCAAACTTTCACTTCTTGCCCTTTCTTTTCCGTCCAAATCCTCAACTCCTAAACGGAGCAAAATGTTTGACAATTGTTACCATCCGATGGACAGATTTTTCAAAGAGAGGAAGGGACAAAATATAAAAAAAAAAACACGCGCTCGCGCAGGCAAGATGGGAAACGTTTGATCTGTGTCAATAACTGCTAAAAGCCTTGTACTAGGAGGACAGGCGAAAGCCCGTATTTCTTCGACTCAGTTGCATAGGAAATAAGGACTAAGGTGAATAAAGTGCGTAACCCTGGATGATGGTGGGTTCGAATGAGCGGGGAGAGGGCAGCAATTCTGTGCAGAGGAGAGATGATGAAGGCCAGGCGTTAATGGTCAAGGTCTCCCATGGTTCTACACTTGTCGACATCTCTGTACCCTCCAATTCTACCTTTGGTACTTCCTCTCTCTCTCTTCCCCCCCCCCCGGGGCGCGGGGCAGGGTACTTTGAACTTGCTGCAATTGAGCTTTTAGGCTCTTTTTCGCTTGTAGCATATTCTTAATAAAAGGGTAGTGGTAGTGCTTACAGTTTTTGAAGATTTCCAGTTAAGAATGCGTTTTGTGCTCCACCGAAATTGGAGAATTTTGTCCTTATAGCATAATTGGGATTAATTACAATCACGACTCCAAATGCAATTGTAAGGGTGATTGAGAGCCGAAGACAGGCCGATTCTCATAGGTAGATAGCTATACGTGTGTATCTTTGTCTACCGCTGCAGCTGTAATTTCTAATAAATAGATTGATCTTATCATCTTGTGTTATGGTGGGTTGCCTTACTATGTATTTTTACCTGTTTGTTCACTGCGTTGTCAATCTTTTTTTTTTTTGGGGTTTTTGTTGGGGGGGGGGGGGAGGTTTGGTGGCGGCTTTTGCTTAGAGCAGTAAAGGTGATTAAAATGCCCTGTGAGAATTAGATATTTTAGAATAAATTGGCGCTCCGAATGGTTACATTTACAACGAGGTGCTTGGTGTTATGATATCTTTGGATAGGCTTTTGTTGGAGGTGTTTTATGACAATTTTGGTTTGTATACGAAAAATTAGGGGATTTGAAGAGAGTTATTGCTCAAGAAACTGGTTTGGAGCCCCAGCTACAGAAGCTTTTCTTTAGAGGGAAAGAAAAGGAAGATGGCGACCTTTTACAGATGGCAGGCATCAAGGATAATTCAAAGCTAGTACTCATGGAGGATGCAGGAGATAAGCAGATGAACCCTCAAGAGATAAATGAACCTAGTGAGGTATCAAGAGGAGGTGCTGCTGTATTTGAGGTTAGAGCAGAAGTTGATAAGCTATCCGAACAGGTTAGTACTAGTGTTCCTGTTGGTATGTGATTTGCTTCCTCCAGGATGCGCTGGGTTAACATATCTTATTATTTTCTTATAGGTGTCTGCCCTACAAGCAGTTGTGCATACTGGGAACAAGGTTGACGAGAGGAATATTGAGTGTGTTTGGACAGCCAATTATTTGGCCAAATATATTTGCTGACATCACCATTACAATTTTCAATACACCTTTTTATCTTCCCAATTACCTTTTTATCTCACATACATCACATCACAAAAAGTGCTACAGTAAAAATATTTCAAATAACTTACAATCCAAACACACTCATTGTTTACTTAACAGAGATGCTTATGAGACAGTTGCTGAAATTGGACAGCATTGAGGCCGAAGGAGAAGGGAAAATTCAAAGGAAGCTGGAGGTTAGTTGTTGATGCTTCTAAGTTTTACATTTTGGCATATATCAACCATCAAGCAAAGCATTTGGGAATTCACAATTAGAGGTTCCCATTTTTTTCTGGTCATATTATAAAATCCAATTTACTTTAAACTCACTTGAGCATGGTGAATTTAGAGCACAATTGTTTATGCCAGCTGTAAACTCTTATGTGCATATGCTTACCTTGAAAAGAAAAAATTTATGTGTGTTTTACAATAGTCTATTATTTGCTTTTCTTGGATACCAAGAGTATTTATTTGAATGTTTTAGGATATCAAATTGGAGGAAACAATATCCGTTTATGACTCTTTTTGCAGGTCTGCAGAGTTCAGAGCTTAGTGGAAACAATGGACACCCTCAGGGCAAGAAACTCCAACCCCTTCAGTGACTGCACTAATGCTGTATCTGTAACAACTAACTGGGAGACATTTGATGCTGGAGTAGCTGATCCTAATGCTCCAACCCCTGTGCCATGTTCCATTAAGGTGACCCAGGAGTGGGAACAATTTGACTAGTTGTAGCTATCTCCAGTTTGGAGTATATTACTGGGGAGTTTGCAATGTGTAAGGTGATGTACACACTTGCATGTGGTACTATTCTTTTTGTTTTTAATTGTTAGACTTAAGCCTTTTTCGGATGCAAATCTTCCCACATTAGAGAATACGTGTTATGCTTTAATAATAGATGGCTTCTACTGTTTAATTTTGTCTCCAACTTGGATTGCATGTTGTGATCTTAATTTTGTTTATCATGATAAGTCCTTATCTTCCTGTATTTTAGGGGAAACATTGCAGTACTTGACTATATACTCAATCCCGTGATTTAATATACTGTGGTAGTCTTCATAATGCACCCAACTGCCTTTTCTAGAGAATGAATCAGAAGTCAGAACAGTTTTACTATTTATAGCAATCTGGATTTGGATTGGGTGAAATATGGGCTGCACAAACATCAGGTTATGCAGGCACTTATTTGACTCACTTCTTTCAATAGCTAATAAGCCAAATCTTATTTCTTGAGTGCAAACTCCGTCTCTTTGTCAAATAACTCAATATGGTTGCTTGGCTGTTTCAACTACACATAAATTTTTAATTTTTTCAAATCCATGAAAAGAATAGCCTTACTCTAATTATGATGGTTCTTTCCTCATCTTCATACAACGGATAGCTCTGAGCATACGAAACTCAAAATTCAGGGAATTTGGCCATCTAAATAATGTTGTGTGCTACCATTGTGTATGGTTTTCTCCTGTTGCCCTTGTCCAGCAAGAGCATAAGCTTCTTCTCCATCGGCTGCATTATCTCCAATCTTCAGTTGCTCCTCAGACATGCGGAGGGGATAGAATGACAGAGGTGATGACTACATTCCAGCCAATGATAAAGCTTGCTCCAACCAACTGCTCGAGGAGTTGAATTCCTCCTTTGCTTCCAGAGAAGGTCCCCTTGGAATCAGGAACTGCTAAGAACATGCTACAAAGGCTTGGATGGGCAAATAGTCCTGTCAGTGCCCAACCTAAGGTTCCAGCAACAGCATGAGTATGAAATACACCAAGAGGATCATCTATCTTTTGTAGTATTTTTAGTTTCCTGGTCAAACTCATCATGGTGTACCAAGGAATAGCTCCTGAGGCTATGCCCATTACAAGTGCTGCCCATCCTTGAACTGAGCCTGCAAGTCCAGTGGGAACAATTTTTAAGAGAAGCTCCGTTTACTTACCAGAATCCTTTCACTGACGTGTGATTGGGAAGGATTTATACAAACCAACCCCGTTATCATTCCTTGGATTGCTCCAATAACTGATGGTTTCTTGAAGAAAATCACATCCCAGCAAGTCCACATTAGGAGAATAGTTGCTGCACAAATATGAGTATGGAGAACTGCCAGGGAGGAGTCAACATTAGCAGCAAATGCATCACCTCTGTTGAATCCGGTCCTACCCATCCAAAGTATGCCTGCTCCAGTTAGCGCTAACAATAGATTGTTTGGCGGGAATTCATCTCAATCTGCCTGGAACCTTGTTCCAACCTGTAGAAGACAGCAGAGTAAATATGATTTTGTGACGAGGTTCAGAAGGCGCGGATGTCAGTGGCTGTGTGACAGAAAAAGGCACCTACCTGGTAAGCAGCAGTGAAACTTGCAGCTCTGGAAGCAAGACGCACAACAGAACCTCCTGAATAGTCATGACTCCGCACTGGAAGAGGAAGCCTCCAGCCCCCATACTGTATGCCCCAACACTGTAGGGAAACGGGATCCACAATGGCACAAAGGCCATCCAAGCTTTAATGCTTATTTGAGCAAGCACCGACCCAGCTAGAAGGATGACAGTTACTGCAGCAAAGGCTTACTGGAAAAAGACCATGGCAGCTGTTGTATACCATGGTTGAATTGCGGCTGATTCATGTTACCATCTTGGTAGTGAGTTGACTGCAGTAAAGCTTGGGGAATCAAAATGTCTTAGGAGACAGCAAGACCGGCCTTACCCCAGAGAGGGATAAGGCAGTGGCCAAAGGACACGTTGTAAGCCCAGAGTACCCAGCAGGGCATGACTGCTGCGAAGGCATAAAGTGTCATGAAGGCTGAATTTAGTGCCCATTTCTTCTTAACCATTCCGGCATGCAGAATTACTAGACCTGGCATCCCTTGCATGGCAACCGGTGCAGCAGAAACAATTTGGCCATGCATTGTTGTCCTTGTTCAGCTAATCGGGCACTGTAGCTGAACTGTTTCTGTATGCAGTTGGGATAACCAGATAAGCATCAGCGAGCTTATGGAGTATTCCTTAGGCTCTTCTAAATTCTTACAGGTGGGGCACGATTATATAGTTATATATTATTGGTTCAAGGTTTGAAAGTTTTCCATTGACCGTCGGGATGGTATTTGTGAGAATGTTATTGACTTGCAAGAGCAAAACTAGAATCTACTATCACATGGAGTCATGTTGGAAAATTTGCTCCAAACACGGAGAAGTCAACGTAATTAATGTCGGAAAAGATGCAAAGGTGAAAACAAGAGAGAATGGTTTGTGGTACTCCTAAATTAGACTGTTCCATTAATCTTTTCATTGGGAAAAAGCTAGGATTATGATTTGATGTGGGTAGTGGTTTGGGGTGAGTAACATGACATCTCGTCAAACACGAATTTTGTATGCAGATCGGGCATTGTCCTGGCCAGTTTTCAATCATTTTGTAGCAGTTGCGTCCAGCAACAGGAGAACGCCTTACCGATCGCATGAGACAGCGGCCTAGTTGAAGATGCTAGGAATATCCTTGCCAGCGAGCTTGGGCATTACACTAGAGTAACTTAAATGTTTTTGTACTATCAATTTAATATGGTGTCTGAAGGTGGAAATTTGGAATGTGGAAAATTTTGAGCGTGGAAGAGTAGCTTGAGATCTAATCTGAGCGAACCACCGAACGATTGACAATAGATTGTGCAGTCGGATGTTTGTGGTGCGCTTGCGCTGTCAACCATTTGCTGCACGTAATGCCTTGTTCTCCTTGCGATATTCTCATTGTGCGCTCTATGTACATGAAGTATTGAGTAGACCCTCTTCAACGTAAGGTCATTCTAGTATTTTTCAGCAGTTTATAATGGTTATTAGCAAGATTGAGGTAGATTACTCAAATATTATTCAACAATTTAGTGTAATTCTCACAGATCGCCGATCATTGAAAGGTAATTGCCAACAATTGGACTCTCAACTCGAAATCCAAACCTGCTTCAAGAAATTTGAATGAGCTTTACCGACTAAGCCCACTGTTTTGAGACTCAGACCATTGACTGGTCGTGGGTAGGGGTCAGGGGTCAATGTGTTAGATCCAAGAACTAGATAATGTCATAAATATATTTAATTTTAAAAATCAATATATTATGTAAAATTTTTAAAAACATATTAATACTAAGAAAGGTAGGTTTAATGTATGTTTGATGTTTCTAAAATACTTTACAAGAAAATACAAATAAGGTAGTATAATTAAGTAGCAATTTAATGCATATTCAACAAGTTTAGAACCAAATTGAAGGGCTTATTTGAAAAGAAATACAAGAATTTAGGGATATAGCTATAAGTTCTAAAATGCTTATAGGTATAATAATAGTTTTCTAGTACTCTAGAGGTCAAATCATAAAATTGATAAAATGTTTCTAAGTGAATTTTTTACTTACTTTTTTTTTTTTTTTAATGTTTCATCCCTTTTTGAACTTAGATCTTCCATTGGAGTTGTTTGAGAGAGATTTATGGAAGGATATGTGAAAAGATTTGAGAGTAGTTAAAAGAAAAAATCAAAAAAGAAAAACAAAAATGTAAAAAAGGAAAAGATGGAAAAAATAATCCAGTTCGAAGCGGTTCTTCTGGTTTCTAGTCAAACTAGATTTTTGATCGAGTTTGGCCGAAGGTTTGTTCGACGAATCTTTAGAACAATTCGGATTGAATGCCTACTCGGTTCTCAGGTCAATCGGTTGAACCGATCGGTCCGATCTAAGTTGAAAAACACAACTAAGCCAATCTTAGTTGGCCTATCGACTTTTACTGAGTTGAACAATTGACCTTTGGTCCCCGTTTATGCAAACTGCAACTGTTTCTCTTGTGCAAGTTTCTTGGGTTTTTTGTTTCCTAGGGTAGGTTGTGGGTAAAAGGTGGCTTGGTTTTTGATTTGTGGGTGGGGGGGGGGGTGGCGGGGGGCTAATGCATTAGTGCTTGACAGACTGTTGACTTGTAGAATTACTTGCACGAGTGAATCGAAAGCTTATTAAATTTCTTAGGCCTAGTTGTGCAAATTTGAGATACTAACAATGCATAAATGATTCATCACTGTTTTAGAAAGGTACAAGGATAGTTTCACCCGGTAAATCTGAGTGATCGGATTTCTTTTTTCTTTTTCTACTTGATCATGGAACAAGAGTAAGTGCCACGCCAATATTTTTGCCTCAAGAAATTTGAGTTGGCCATCTAAACTGTCATCTTAAGAAAGGAGCGAGTCTAATCAAATCAAATACTCTAATATTTAAATTTGTTTGATTGTTTTAAGAATCTTACAATTTTGGATAACACAATAGTACATATATACTACTGTAAACTTGGCTCCTTTCTAGTAGATACCGTGGCTCGACCTACACATTTGGAAATTAGTACATTTTGAGAAAAGTGGTTAGAAAATCAGAATTTTTTTTTTTTTTTTTACATAATAACATGTCCAACTCCTGGGAGACAACGGTTGTGTTTGGATTGGAGATTATTTGAAAAAAAAAATATTTGGAATAATTATGTAACACTTTTTTGTGATATTATATATATAAGAAAAAAAGATAATTAGAAATATAAAAAAAATTAGTTGAAAAAATGCATTTATAATTCAATTCAAATAGTATTTGAAAAAAATTCCATATATAAACAGGGCCAAAAGTTGATATCGTATAAAAAAAAAAATCTAATGATTTTATTTAGGTTAGTTTGATTTGGGTAACCACTAAATAAGACTTATATGTACCAAACATAATGCTTTCATGAATATCAACCAAACTTATATTTAATCTCAACAGTCTTATCCCTTCCACGAACCATACAACCAGTGGCTTGCTTTTGGTTTGAAGCACCTAAGGGTATGTGCAGGTAGGCACTATAGATGGCATATATAAAAATAAATCGCCCTGGTGCAGATTGAACGGTAAGCCTCTTTCCCTTGCAGTTTTGCTTATCCTATGTA